CCGGCTACTGGGAAGGCTGAGGCGGAAGAATCGCCGGAGCCCAGCAGATCGAGGCTGCAGTGGCCGGGAGCAGCCACTGCACTCCAGTCTGGGCAACACAGAGTGAGACTCCAACTCAAAAAACAAAAACAAAAAAACAGAGATTAACATATCATAATATTAAAATACAAAATATATATATATATTTTGATCTGCAAAAGGAATACATGTTTATGATAGTAATTTTGAACAATAGATATACATAAAATTTTTTAAAGTTGCCCATAACCTCCTTTCTCAGAGGTAAACATTGTTTTATTTTGTTTTTCTTTTTTGTTTAGTTTTCCAAGAAAAACAGAAGTAACCATTATTAAACAGCTCTTAGGGCCAGGCATGGTGACTCACACCTATAGTCCCACACTCTGGGAGACCAAGATAAGAGGATTGGCTGAGCCCAGGGATTCGAGACCAGCCTAGGCAACTTGGCGAGACCTCATTTCTACAGTAAATCAAAAAATTAGCTGGGTGTGGTAGTACACATCTATAGCTCCAGCTACTTGGAAGGCTGAAGTGAAAGGATCACCCAAGCTAAGAAGGTCAGGCTGCAGTGGCTGTGAACATGCCACTGCACTCCGCCTGGGCGACAAAGAATGAGACTCCAACTCAAAAAAAAAAAAGATGCTAGAACTAGCCAAGACCACAGATGTTTTACCACTGCCATTTAATACTTAAGTGACAGAGGTCAGGCTGGGCGTGGTGGCTCACACTTATAATTCTAGCACTTTGGGAGCCCATGTGTTCAAGACCGGCCTGGGCAACTTGACAAGATCTCATCTCTACAATAATTCAAAAAATTAGCCGGGTGTGGTGGTGCATGACTGTTGTTCCAGCTACTTGGAAGGCTGAGGTGGAAGGATCGCCTGAGCCCAGCAGATCGAGGCTGCCGTGGCTGTAAGCGTGCCACTGCACTCCAGCTTGGGTGATAGAGTGAGACTCCAACTCAAAAAGAAAAAAAAGAGAGAGACAGAGATCTTTCAAATTGTGTGCATAAGCCGGGCTCGGAGGCTCATCCTGTAATCCCGCACCTTTGGGATGCTGAGGTGAATGGATTGCCTGAGCCCGCAGGTTCGAGACCCGCCTGGTCAGCGAGACCTCATCTCTACAATAAATCAAAAAATCAGCCAGGCGTGGTAGCGCATGCCTATAATTCCGGCTACTTGGAAGGCTGAGGCAGAAGGATCGCCAGAGCCCAGCAGGTCGAGGCTACGGTGGCCAGGAGCAGCCACTGCACTCCAGTCTGGGCGACAGAGTGAGACTCCAACTCAAAAAAAACCAAACAAACAAAAAAAAATCAAATTGTGTGCATAACGTTTAGAATCCCAGACATGGTTATTTAATACAGGCCGGTTTTGTCTGTTTCATGGGCTTGGAAACATATTGATTAATATCTCAACATATTTCTACTTGCACATCAGTTGTTTAAAAAGCAAAATACTGACGAGCTAAATATGCTATCAGTAGAGGCTGGTAAGTTTTCTGGTTCACAGATGGTGCCTTTGGTCTCTCTCTTCACTGGGAGTAGGTTGAGCAAATTCCCTCAGGACTCTTTTTTTTTTTTTTTTTTCTGAGTCGGAATCTCACTCTGTCTCCCAGGCTGGAGTACAGTGGCACACTCATGGCCACTGCAGCCTTGACCTGCTGGGCTCAGGCAGTCCTTCCACCTCAGCCTTCCAAGTAGCTGGAACTACAGGCACACACCACCATAGCCAGCTAATTTTTTTATTTATTGTAGAGACGAGGTCTCACCAAGGTGCTGACCTCAGGCTGGTCTCAAACCCCTGGACTCAGGCAGTCCTTTCGACTGGGCCTCCCAAAGTGCTGGAATTACAAGCTTGAGCCACCGAACCCAGCCAGGCCTCTTTTATAACAGAAATAATCTCATTCATGGGGGTTCCACCCTCATGACCTAATCACTTTCCAAAGTCCCCACCTTCTAATACCATCACCTTGGAGAATAGGATTTCTATCTTTCTTTCTTTCTTTCTCTTTCTTTTTTTCTTTTTTAAGGCTAGTCAAGTGAAGCAGTGGGAGTGGAAAAGGAACAAAGAAATCTTTAACTGGTTGTGATCAATTAGTTGTAAACACCACTGCACTAGAACCAGACTAAGGGTAGAATTTTTTTTTTTTTTTTTTTGAGTTGGAGTCTCACTCTATCACC